TTTTATAATTAGACACATAGATCCGAAATACACACACATGAAAAAACAGGACGTATAGTCATGAACTGATGAGAGCGAAGGGGCTGCAAGTGATCCGGGGCTCTCAAACACCGGTCCAAACTCCATATTTTTGGTCGATCGTGACTTTCCCCAGCCCTAGAGACCGAGCCACTGCCACCCCTCTACTAAACTGCACATTATTTTTCAGATGAATGTTCAAAGTCTTGTTCTTACTTTTTTGTATACTTGTCTTTCTTGTAAACAATTATTTAAACTATTTTATAGTTTTTTTAATTATTTAAAAAATAGTTTGCACCTGTTTTACAACTTCATCTTCTTGCTCTGTTTGTTTATTCCCATATACACACCAAAGCAACGTTTTTGTATGTGAAAATCTACTTGGCATAGGTAAATATAAGTAAGCCATTTTGGCCCAAAAGTGGGATGACATTTTATTATATGCACTAAACAAAATACTTTACTAGATGTGAAAAATTACAACATTTAACTCATACGAATGCCCAAACAGCAGTTTAAAATGTAAAGCTTGGACTTCCTATTTCTTTAAAAATGCAGGTAAAGATTCCAACTATGGAAATAGTGGAAATACCTTATGACTAATATAAACAAAGGACACCTCATGCCATTAAAAGTGATGGTTAAGGTTAAATACATTCGATTGTTGAATTTATTCCAAACAAAAAACTTTTCTTGTTAACCTCGACTGCCCCTTCCTACACCAGCAGCGATATCTGATAGAGAACTGTAGCAGATACGACCGTTATCGTCCTCGTGTGGCTACAGCCTGACCTGCTTCAGCAATCCGGAAATTGAGGGCACCGGTGACTCACCGACGGCAAAATCCAGAGTTATGAGGGACGGAGCTGTAGTTGCCATGGACTGGTACGCAGAGCACGCATTCACAATTTCTTGCATCTTTAGAAAGTTAGCAACAGCCAAGACGTCTTCTACGTTCTGTGGACTCAAACTCAGCTTGGCTGTGTACATGAACTCCAGGACCTGACCCAAACCTGCAACCAGAAACAACAATCAAATAGGTCTGGTTATTATTATTACCAATTTTCCACATTGAAAGACACACAAAAAGGATAACAAGAACACAAACAATAACAACATGATGACAATGCAATTATAAACCATTAAATATAGAAGACATAGCCTGACATGGCATAACTTAAATTAAAGTAAATAAAGGTAATACAAACACATATTACAAACATTATGGGAATGATCACAACAATAAAAGTAATAGTAATAATACCAATGATTTTTTTTTTTTTTTTTTTTTAAATAGTATATATATATATATATATATATATATATATATATAAAACTTTAAAAAGGTTACTTTCCCTTGCTGTTCAATCAGAATCAAGTTTATTGCCAGGCACGTTTATACACATACAAGGAATTTGCTTTGGTTTCTGGTAGTGCGAACATAAACAATTTAAGAAAATAAGTTGCAATAGTAGGTCAAAAATATAAAGATGATAAAAAGAAACACTGAATTAACACACAAAACAGAGCTCGCCACAACACTGAAGCAGCCATCATCGTCGCCATGTTATTGCTACATATCCTAATTTCCCATAAAATGCATAAAAGACTGCCAGATAGAATTAAAGGCCTTTTGTGTCTTTTAAGATTGTAAGTTATTTTCTCCGCATAGAGCAACAAGTGTAGTTGTACAGCAGTGAAAACACTGATAGCAAGGCAGAACAAATATTTTTTTTAAAATGTAATGCATAAATACGTAGTGCGCACACTGATGGAAACCCACCTGCTGCATTGCTGATGTCCAGATGCACCACATCTTTCTGGTCCAGGAAGAGCGTGCGGAAGTAAACACTGCAGGCTGCCAGCACAGCTTTGTGGGCCTTGAAGTCCACCCCGTCCACCACAAAGGTGCAGTCACACAACAGGCCCTGCCGGCGCTGGCGGTTCAGCTGCTCCAGGACCTTCCCACTGTGCCACGGGAACTCCATCGTACCGAAGGACGCTTGAGGATGATGGAGGAGTCTCTGTGGAGAGTGAAAAGCAAATGGAGCACCTTAGGAAATGATCAAAAACGTGGACAGTCAGCTTGACCAGTTGTGTTTTACAGTGACATGACATTCCTGGGTCTTTATTTGAACAATACTGGAGGATGATTGAAAATAATTGGCAACATTACAATAATTTTTTGTGAGCCTTACAATGATCATTCATAATGATTACTCATTGACTTTGGCGACATTATGTATTTATTTACCTTGAACTTTATATTAGAATTTAATTGGAAAACATCTAAAAATTGATTCAAAATATTTTATAAAAAACAATAAAATGTATACGGTTCAAAATATGAAATACATTTGATATACATAAATAAGATTAACTATTTAGTAACTTGATATCTAATATAACGTATTTTTTTAATCAGTATCTGAATACTATTATGACTGACCAGAGCAGTCATACCAATAATGTTCAGTGTGAAACCAAATAAAGACTTTTGGCATTCAAAAACCATGTAACTCCAACATTAATAAAGTAACATAGAGTTAAAACAGTTGTCAGGACATAGATGTTTACCTTTACCCTGTCTTCCATAATTGTAATTCAATTACATAATAACACTATGAGCTCAAAAGATCAGTAGTTACACGTTTATGCTTAAAAACTATCCTCATTTGGAATGTATTCGACTCGTTAAAAAAAAGGAAAACAAGGTACCAGTGTTTTAGTCAAGTCTGTCGACAGGTGCATGAATTGTCTGTAAGGTATTTAGGTTGTATGGTCTAACCTACAGGAACAAAACATGTAGGACATGTTTATGGTCAATAAACATGTCCTAAATGTTTTGTTCCTGTAGGTTTGTGCCTGTTCCATTTCTTACAAGATACTGCAGGAAATACTCCAAACAGATATACAATTTAAAAACCAAGATCATTCGAAATATAGCTACGTTAGCTAATAAACTAAGTGCGTAGTAACGATATTGTACAATGTAACATCAGAAATGATAAAATAATGACGCCAGACTTTTGCTTCATGATGGACATGCAGCATTACACAAAACACGAGAATATTAAAGAGCAGTAAAGATGTTTAATGACTGGAAATAACGTGTCTCTAAAAGTTTTTGACAGCTTTGGTTTGACAGTGCAATGAATCGATTACAATTCCTCCATCCTTGTAGCTTTGTTATCAGGGATTAATTTAGCTTGCCTTGACATGCATGTAGTGAAGGGACAAGATGGCGGAGCGGCGAGTCCGGCTTGTCTTCACCTCTTGTTGTTTTCTCTGCTAGCTCGCTCATTTCGCTCCCTGCAAGCGCCATGTTCATATAAACTAAGTCCTGAATTACCTCTTTGTTGCCGCTTTTCACTCCGGGTCCAAAATGCAGCTCGGACGATGATTCGGAATGTTTGACTCGGTTAGGCAAAACAAATCCAATCGAGCTTTTCGGTGATCGATCATGCTCCACTCAGTCCATCCAGCGCCATCTTCGTCTCTCTGATCGATTGATAGGGACCGGCCGGATGTATAACTGGAGCATGCGCAGTGTGAACACGGGCTGTGCACATGATGACCGTGTGGTGGCGCAATACGCTCAATTAATTCAAACCAGCGCCGTATAGATAGAATTATAGTAGGCTAGTAGTAATAGATTCTATTATACGGCTCTGATTCAAACCTTTATTTAACCAGGTCAGGTGGTCCCATTGAGATCATCGATCTCTTTTTCAAGGGAGACCTGTCCAATATAAACAATGTCAGTGTCTGGTTCCAGAAATTAATGTCATATTTGTTATTCTTGTCCAAAGTCTTGTATTTTTTGGCAAGCTGTCTTTACATTTAATTCCAATCATTTTTTCTCAATTTTCCCTTTCATACAAAAATATAGGCCTATTGTTTTGGTTTTGCCTTTGAACTTTTCTTCTAACTTTTAAACTCACACTTATAAATCTATATGTTCTAATCATGAACCATCATTTTCTAAGTTTTGAAAACGACATAAAACCACCAAACGGCATCAATCCTATATTCTAAAAAAAATAGGAAAGATAATAAAACATTGAATCCACAATGAATAATTTACCATTTTTGTGAGCTGATTTATTATGTATATCAGTGCTTTAATCCCCTGGCTGGTATTGGTATTATCTGAAGCAGCAACATGCTATTAATCTGATTCATAAATGTGAAGTTGAAGCCATCAATGTAATGAATGGCAAACCCCAGAAAAACCTATAGGCTTTTGTATTAAGTACCCTTTCAATTAAAAAAATCATGCTCTATTATATGCTAGTGCCGATGTAATGAGTATAAAATGCAATGAGAATTGTGAACGTCCTTTGAGAATAATAATGCATAATCATTTCCCCATCACTCTGAAAAGAACATATATCATTAATTTCTACACTGCTTCACAGTCTAACATAAATCATTCTGTTATGTGGTCTTTCCAAAATGGAAAGGTCACATTCTGGCTCGAACATAAAGTGAATTACAGCCACATCACAAAGCTGTCGAAATTATTTTAGATTGAAAAGAGCCTTCAAAATTATTTTCTCATGGAAACAGGACAGACAAAACACACACAATACTGAATAGAATCACCTCTGAGCTTTCATACTGATTTTCAGAACAGAATAGATTGCCTTGTGCTGTTTACTGCCTACTCACCTTCAAGCCCATATTTTTTATTTGTATAACTATATTGAATTTTCCAATTATTTACACTTTCAGCTGTTTTTAGAAAAAAGAAGATTTCTCCAAGAAGAAACCCTAAATGTTGTTTAAAAGCCTTCTCTATAAATGCATTCATTATACACAAGGGAAGAAATACTCAAGCCATTACCAGCTATATTCGCCCTTACAAAAAAAAAGTTTAAATACTCAAGATTTGTACGTTTCTTATAGATTGTCAACTCTCCATTGGTAGCTTAAACTATACTTTAGTCCCGATCTAAATCAATGAAATAGTTCACATGTTTATGTCAAAGCAGGATTACTTTATTCACACAAATGTGATATATTACAAATGATTATTAACGTGGTAACCATCAATTTGTTAGGTGAGTCTTCATTTTTTAAGAACTGCGTTAGAGGACAACACACAAGTACTGTGTGTGTGTGTGTGTGTGTGTGCGTGTGTGTGTGTGTGTGTGGTGTGTGTGTGTGTGGTGTGTGTGTGTGTGTGTGTGTGTGTGTGTGTGTGTGTGTGTGTGTGTGTGTGTGTGTGTGTGTGTGTGTGTGTGTGTGAGTGAGAACCTGCAGGTTTGACCTACTGCTGCTGTGTATGTTGAACTAACTCAAGAGCAGCATTGTTGCAGACATGGAGATGGAGGACCTGGCATGTTTTATAGAGCATAGTGCCAACTCTCTGCTGAGTTTTTAAAGTAGAATGGTTTAAGTAAAGACAGCAAATAAGGAAGAAGCATAAGAACAAAAAAAGTGAGAAGTTTGTGATGAGAAAGCAGGTCAGTTCTTTAGATCTTGATCTCGGTGCGGAAGGTCTGTACGAGCTCGTGTTTGGCCGGTAGTCGCCGTGCTTTGACTGTTAGGGTCCCTTCGGCGCCCAGTGATGATGTCACTGAGGTGGGGTCCACATCCTCAGGTAGTTGGCACTTGTGTGTGAACGTGTTCATCACCGAACCATCCTGTGCCAACTGCCAGAAGAAACAAATATTTAGAATGACTTCATTGCAGGAATGACGTACTTTGTAGGTCTAACAGGAAGTTCGACATTCGACAAAAAGTAAATGGGATTTTTCCTTTGGATTTTGAATGATGGCATGAATAAAGCTCTTTGACAAACTTTATGATACCTTCATGTTTGATTCAGCAAGTTCATCTTTAAAAATGAAAATTCATTTGAATATTCTAAAGCATGAATTCAATTTCAGGCTATGGACCAACTGCCAGTCGCAATGCCTCAAGGTCATGATTTGGTAAATAAGGTTCCTGGTGTTAAGCGTGATCTTTGTCCCTGACACTCTCTGTAATCCAATTTAGCCATTTGTTAGCAACTACTTTTTTTTAAGACACAAAAAAAACGTCTTAATCATGATTGGGGTTATTACCAATTTGTATTTTATGTTGTAGAACAAAATGTCAAAATCTCTTAATTTTGACTTTAAAAAGAAAAAACCTATTGAAAAAACGAATTGACTTCGAGACAAGGGAAACAGATTTTAGTTTTAACATCTTGGAAAGGCTAATATTGTCTTACAGCTTAAAGACATTAGGTAAATTCCATATTAATTTCCAACAAAAGGCTGCCCACCTTTTCCGCATGAACTTCAATCTGGTTGTTGGATGTGGTGACGATGACATCTTCAGGGGAGAAGTCTCGCACGTCAACTGTGAACTGGTACGAATCCCCAAGAGTCTTGATATTTCCAGAGCTACCTAAACCCAAGACAAGATAAGACATAATGTAAGACCACAGGGAAGCACTACTATCATGAAAGTATTGACATTATAAAATCAAACAGTATGTAGGCTAATTATGTTCTGTTTCACTAGGTCTTTGTATAACATAGGAGCGAGCCTACTTGGCTGTGTATTATATTTATTATGGTATAAAGTACGTAGAGTCACTGTTCAGATATATAAACAGCATGGTTTCAGTTTTTAGTTCAGTTTTTTTCCTCAGCAAGTTGCAAACCTTGCTGTTTGGTGCTGTGCTGTTACCTTAGAGACATTTCACCCAAACTGGCTTCCTGAAAGATGGAGTAAGTGAGCGCAGAGTTTGAGGAAATGGAAAACAAAAACAATGAGCTACAGTGACTAAAATGGCTTTAAAACTGAGAGGAACTGTAGAGCGGGGTGACATTTTTCTGGTGTTGTCGCAATGAGTGAGACCTTTCACATTACACTATCACATGATCCAATTGTTAACATCAATTAAAAACTTTAAATAGCCCATTAAATGGCTGTTATCAGTTGTTATCACTACCAGTTGAATGCTTCAAATGGGCAACTGCACAAACCCCGCACATTGGGAGGTTAAACCTATGGGTTATATTATATAGGGTATTTACTGATACATACACCTTGACCACTTCACTACGCAGATTTTGTCGCTCTTTATACTGACTCACTTCTTTTTGCTTCTGTCAATTTACTAAGGCCAATAGACGTCAACATGGTTTTGTATTCTTTATGGTTACCATTCGAATAAATGAGAACAACCTTCTGAATCTTCCAGTATGTGGAGCAGGCCCCTTCTGAGCAATATCTATGACACTGATAACCACTGATAACGCCCATCCAATCCGATGATAACATTCAAAGAGAGTGCCATTACTCTGAGCTCAGTGAAGAACTATGTGGTAACACATGACCTCACACACTGACTAGAAATTAGCATGTGTGAGATATTAGCTCTGATCTCACGCAGGTCAGGTTGACTGGGTGACATCATTCCGATTGTTTGTGTATGTGCATGTATTTAGTGTGTACACCGGTCACTGGGCAACCATCTGGTCATTCCTTATGCAGGCGCCATTCCAGATACTCAGTGTGTGAAGTCACGGTGCTGGCAGTCAGTCCAGCATTCCCCAGCAGGCTTGTGTGCGTGTGTGTGTCTTGCTTTCCCATTAGCTGCTCCCACCCTCAGGATCTAGCACTGCACCTACGGGATACCAACAATGGTTCCAAAACAGTTAAGCTCTCCCCCTGAGACACTGTGGGCCACACTCTGAGTCCTTTTAAAGTTCAGATGTCACACATTCACAGGTCTGTGTACGCCAACAGGGAACCAATACAGAACAGTTCACACCAGCTGCACACATTACTGAGCTAGGAGATGAAGCATAAAGTGAAATCTCTGTTGATTTTAATAGGTATTTGAAACACGAACCATCTGAAAATCCTGAAAGAATTTGACAATATATTCTTGAAAAAATCCAACTCCAATTTAGAGTTTGTTTCCTCATCTTTTTTACCCGTTGGTGACCCTATCAAACTACTCTCTTGCTGAGAAAACATGTGTCCACACATCTATCACACGAGAGTCCTGTCTGTTTGTCTCCTTCCTCTGAACTTGGACTTCTTTTATCTCATATTTATGGAGAAAAACACCACACTTCAAACAAAGCACAGATAGCAATCTACCTTGTAGTCAAAGTTGTCTCTTCACCCACTGTTGCTACTACTTTCACACCACTTTGTACATAAAAAAGTGACCTACAAATTGCTCCAAACTTACTGGAAAACCCCAGAGCGTCACTCCCAGGCCTCATGAAGGAGCCAAAGTCCTCGGCAAACAGTCCCCGGCTCTTCTCCATGTATGGGTTACTAGAAGATGAGGATGAAGATGAAGTCTGGTGAAAACTACGCTCCGATCGATAGGCAGAGGAGTTGGTCCCACTCATGGATGGCTGAGTGTTCTGGGTTAGGCAGAGGAGGAGAGTAATGGGAGGGAAGAGGGAGGCGGAGAGAGTTGATTCTTCTGCTCTGGGACTCTTCCAGACGCTTAAAAGTAAGAAATAATTCCCACAGCTCTTCTGTCTTCTTTCTTACTTTTTCTTTATATTGTTTTTTTTCTTGTTTGTGTTAGGTAGAATGATTCAAATTCCCACCCTGATGCACTCACCCACCCTTATATACTGTATGGTTCCTTGGGCGGTGTGCACGTGTGTCACAGCTCATTGGGAAGGGGTCATAGAGATCTATATTTATCATGAGACGCACAAGCAATGGAGAGAGGGGTCTGTTGTTGGAAAAGTTCTGGGCATTGAAGGCTATGAGGTTAAGAGCTAGTGGAGAGTGGGATTGAGGAGGGGGGGGCAACAGTTGTCATTGACGCACCGTCCCTGAAATAGCTTCCCTTATCTTCTCTCTTTAATGTCCCTGCACTCCAGTGATACATCAGCCAATTATTTCAGTAAATTTTTAGAGAAATAAAAGTACATGTTCTTCCTCTTAGCTGTAGATATTTATCAGTGTAGATAGTTTTGGTGTGAGTTGCCAAGTGTTGGAGCTATTGACTGTAGAGGTGTCTGCCTACAATATAACAGAACTAGATGGCACTCGGCTTGTGGCGTTAAAAACACAAACAAATTATTAGGAAAAACTCAACAGCAATGTCTCATTCCAGAAATCTTGACCCACCTACTCAAAATAATCTACTGACCTTGTTGATGGCAGTTAGGCTACAAAGTAATTTCATTCTACCAAGCTACACTAGCTAACCATTTTACCGCGCAGAAGGAAATGTTAGCTAACCTAGCACCACTCAGCTAGCTTACACTACAGCTCATATTAGGAGGCAATTCATATTTACATGACTTTGGCTGTCACTAGCTTCTTGTCTCATGCTCCAGTAGGTGCACATTTTCTTCTGCGTGTTGATACAGTTAGGTAGAAAGTTGTTCCAACGTAAAACAACTAGGTTGGAACCTTGGTGGATTATCAGGAGTTAACGGGTAATGTTTTTCAGAAAGAGACATACTGTTGAAGGGCCCTATTACTTAATATTACTTTTTTCTTTGCTGTAGTTGGTTATATGAGTTACAAAGGCTCCCAGAGATCCCTCCAGAGGGAGTTTCTCTCCCCGTCTGCAATTCCTACATTGGACTTTAATAACTTCAGTAACATGGTGACCTCCTTATTTAACACTAATGCTTCTATTGACTAGCACTCCAACACAATGTACGTGCGAAGGAGCGGGAAATCTTTAAGCGGTTGATCAATCACACCATATCTGGCCAGCTAACCAATCAGAGCAGACTGGGCTCTGGTTTCAGACAGAGGGTGAAAAGAGGTGCTGCAGCACAGGTAGTTTGAGAAAAATAAAAAGCTTTTTGAACATTAAAGCGTATAAACATGTCACAGTAGAGGCACAAAATACAAATATGAACCTGAACATTTGCATAATATGTCTTATTATGTGGACATTCAACCCAGTCTCATGGCATTTCGTGTTCACCAACACAATTTTTTATCTATTGATTTGTGTTCACCAACACGATTTCCCCCTTTTTTTCGTGTTGCACAGCACGATTTTAAAAGCAATGTATTTCTACTGGTAATGTGTTTCGTGCCTGCAGCACGTCTTTTTCTCCGGTCGGGTCGTGGAAGACCGGAAGCTGTGTGGTTCATAAAAACATGTTCTTACTCAATATCAAGTCACAATTATTGCTTTTATTTTAAATCGTATAATTTCGGACTTTTGTTGCCGTCTGTGAGGAAAATAAATGGGGCTCAGAGCCTCAGAATACTGAAATCTGTATTATTTCCTTCTAATTTGTTATTCTTTTCAAATAACACACAGTTATTTACTCACCAATAACACACAATTATCCTTGCTTTATTTATTGGTTTAATTCCATAATCTCTGGCTTTTTTGGCATCCGTCAGGAACTGAATCTCAAAATAAAAATAACCGGAAACAGACATAGGCCTATAAGGGACATTTCGAGCATCATTGCGATTGTCAACATTTCTGAGTTTAGGATGGCCGAAGACACTACACTACCCATAATCCCCAGCTATCGTTTAGGACTACAGTCCCCGTGATTAATCTTCAAACTTTGGGATTGGATGTTGGAGTGGCAGTGCGCCAAGGTTACGCCGAGCGTCAAACAGCTGTTTGAAATGGAACGAAACCACGCCAGACTATCCCAAACTGGAATCGAACGCCTCCCCAGAACTACACATGCTGGCTATTGTGTTTCGCAAAATGTTCTATTGGACGTCTCTACTGAACGTTTTCGTTTTTCCCACAATTAGAAGTTGCCAGTATTAAACACATTGGTGTTATCAAATGTAAAACATATAATTAATAAATGGGTGAAAATCGCTTGTGTCCATAATGCGCAGCATTCATATATACCCACATGACAGCTTATTGTTACTTTGTAATTCTACTCCACTACAATTCAGAGGTTAACCTGGTATTTTTACTCCACTACACTTATTTGAGTTACTTTGCTGATTCTGATTAATGATGTGAAATATAAACAACCCTTAAATCAGACTTTAGTTACACCTGAGTAAAATTCAGGGAAGGTGATTGTCAAGTGCCAACAATCAGGAGAGATATTTGATAGTTGGTGCTTGAGAAGACTAAACATGTATCTATCTGCAATTGACATGAATGGAAACGAGTAATAAAGTATATTTATTACTCGCTATTCTCTACTAATAGTTAATTAAAGACTGTATATTATGGCTATTTTGCACATCCCTTTCAAGATTTCAAGATTTTCAAAGGTTTATTGACATATCATATACACAACTACGGTGTAGTTATGCAATGAATGAAACACTTGGGTCACAGGTTCCTCAACAGTGCATTACAAGACATCTATCAATATGTGTGTACCTCCACCATTAAACTGTCATATTCTGCACACATCTACATACATAAGAGTATAATTCATATGTATAATATCAGTTAAAATAAGTGCTTCAACATAGTTAACATTGCAGGAAAGCAATATATTAGACGTTAAGTACTTTGTCAGGCTTAATATTTATCTGTAGATACCCCCAACGTTTTTTTCTTATTTAAAAGAAGACCTTAATCTGTTATTTAATGTTTAAATAAAGGTTAATTCGTTTTTCTGTTTTGCACCTCCTCATATTAATATCTTTGTACATCCTGCACTAAACTGTTTTATTGTAGAGATCACTTACAGTATCTTCTTGATTTTTTATATTTCTATCACAAACCTTCTACTTTCCCCCTATGAAAGTATGTACTCTTAATATTTTTTTAATCAAATATAACACATAAAAACAATAATTCAATAATGTGCTTTAACCACTAGGCGGTGCACACAAGGTACACACAGCCATAATAACTTTGTATTATTAGCAGTGTTGTGCTAGTTACTGAAAGCCAGTAACTAGTTACCATTACTAGTTACTTCATTTAAAAAGTAACTCAGTTACTTTACTAGTTACTTACACCAAAAAGTAATGCGTACTGTGTTTTTTTATTGGTTAAGAGGTCCTTGGTATGAAAAAGTTTGAGAAACACTGTCTTAAATGGATAAAATACTAACATAATTGTTTTCACTAATCTAAAAGGTATTGAGAAAATGGATCCTCTTTCGTTTGTCTGCATTCCTTCTGAATGGATTGACGTCACTGATAATCAGTGTTGTGCTAGTTACTGAAAACCAGTAACTAGTTACCATTACTAGTTACTTCATTTCAAAAGTAACGTTTTAGTTACTTACAAAAAGGGCTCCCATTAATGCCCTTATAGCCTTCATTTCAGTACTGTTATTGCATTGAAGAATAATACAATCTGTTGATCAACTTGACATGCATTATATGCAATCTGGATTGCATCGATATTAGCTGGCTTTCCATTTTTGTATATTCTTTCTCCAGGTAGTTGGAAAAAGTTTTCCGTCCCATATGCCGTGTGCCGCCCGGACATTGTATCATGCTAACTAGCTCCCTGAAAGCGGGTGACTCCACTGTAGCAATAGCCTGCATGTGTTCTACAACATACCGTGCAATGGCTTTATCGACTTTTCCCTGGATAGCAGTCCTTTGGTTAAAATCCAGCCGCTGTTGGAGGTGGAGTGGCGCATCGGCTGAGTCTCTGTGGTCTTAGCTACTAGCTTCGTCCCAGCATGTTGTTTTTGCAGATGTTTTAAGAGATTTGAATTACTGGTGTAACGTTCCCCAAGATGAGTCGGAGACAGGCTTGTAGTTATTAGGCTTTAATAACTAGTAGTTGAAGACAGATGATAACAGGTCAAGTATACTTCGTGGGTTCTACCGCACACTAACTTATTTCCTAAACCAACCACAAGATATAGCACTGTCTACGTCACAACTCCCCGCCCTCCCCCGTCCGCTCCACCAACCACAGGCCCGCACCTCAACCACCGAGGAACATATAAAACACAGTACAAAACACTCCCCCCACCCTCTCCAGCTCACTGCAGGGACTACCCCACTGGCTGTCCCCAACCAAACCAGTAGCCTTTGAAAACACAGAAAACCCACCACAATCCCAGCCCTCTATAGTATCTACCCCCCCACTACAAAAATTCCTCGTCTACGAGGAACAACTAAACACAGCCCCACACTACACCTACACACTGAACTTTGACTAGGAAGAGCTGGGTGGACTACCATCCCTTCCAGTGAGACCAGGGCGCATTCTTGCCCTCTACAGGAACTGGGGGGTCTCACTATAACCTTACTACCACACAAAGTCCCTGAAACGACCCGGGGGTCGTGTCTGCCTTCTCGGCAGGGGGGCTGGGGTTGCCGGATCTGGCCCAGGTGCCGAAAGACTGGGGGGACTCTCAGTCCTTGATGGGGGACTACTGCTCTGTCCGCCGGGGGGTCTGCGGAGGGATGTCGATGGGACGTCTGTGTGTCCCGAGGTTCCTTCGGTCTGTGGGGAAGCGACGCCTCTGTACGGAGCCAGCCTGTCTCTGTGGAGCACCACTTTTCTCCCCTTTGGTGGCAGCTGCACCCTGTAGACCACTTCCCCCACCCTCTCCAGTACTCGGCAAGGACCCACCCACTGACTGTCCAACTTTGGGCACCGGCCTTTCGTTCGTTGTGGGCTGTAGACCCAAACCAGTTCCTCGGCCCGGAAATGCTGCCCTCTGGTCCTGATGTCGTAGTTCCGCTTCTGTCTCACCGCAGCACTTTTCTGCTGCTCGCGGGCAAAGGCATGAGCGGACTCAAGCCGGTCCTGCAGCCTCCTTGCGTACTCAGGACCAGGAGGCGTGTCCAGGGAATCTGGTGGCCGACCAAACGCCAACACCGCAGGGGTTCGAAGCTCTCTCCCCAGCATGTGGAGGGCCGGCGAACAGGCTGATGACTCCTGGACTGCAGACCGACATGCCATGAGCACCAGGGGCAGATGCTCGTCCCAGTCTCGCTGATGCCGCGACGTGAGGCTGGCCAGCTGCTGTCCCATGGTGCGATGAAATCTCTCTACTAGTCTGTCGCTCTGTGGTCGCAGGGGGGAGGTGCGTGTTTTGTGAATGCCCAGTTGAGAGCACATGGAGGCGAACACCCGGGACTCGAAATTCCTCCCCTGGTCACTGTGCAGGGTCTCCGGTACTCCAAACCGGCTGAACATGCCGGACACCAAGGCATCCGCGACTGTCTCTGCTTCTTGGTCAGGGAGCGCATACGCCTCTGTCCACTTTGTGAAGTAGTCTACGGCCGTGAGAACGTAGCGGTTACCCCTGTTTGACAAGGGTAGCGGCCCCACCACATCAACCGCTACTCTCTCCATCGGGTCCCCGACGGGAGATTGTTGCAGCAGAGCATGGGAACGCCCCGGGGGACCCTTCCGTGCCGTACACGGATCACAGCGGCGACAGAAGTCTTCGACATCCCTCCTGCACTGTCCCCAGTAGCAGCCCTGACGAAGGCGGCGGAGGGTCTTAGTGACTCCAAAGTGACCAGAGCCTGCCGTGCCATGCATGGCCTTGAGTACGACCTCTTGCAGGACCCTAGGAACCACCACTTGCCACCTCTTCTCCCCCGTTGCTGGCTCCTTCCACGCCCGCTGCAGTACGCCCTGACACAGACGTAGAGACTCAAACTGAGACCACAGCCCCTTTGTTGCTTTGGAGAGCGAAGTCGAACGATTTGGAGCTCTTCTAGCCACCTGGCGACCTGCCCTTCTGGCTCTTTGAACGTCATGAGCCACTGTAATGCAGAGTGATCCGTCCTCACCGTGAACGCTTGCCCGCACAGGTAGTACTTAAAGTGCTCGATGGACAGCACCACTGCCAAAAGTTCTCTGCGGGTAACGCAGTATCGTCGCTCCGCTTTGTTGAACGCCCGGCTGAAGTATGCCACCACCCGCTCCCCCTCTGGTGTAGTCTGGGATAGCACTCCGCCTACCCCAACGCCGCTAGCGTCGGTGTCCAGGGTGAACGGCAGCCGGGGGTTGGCTGGGACGAGAACCGGGGCTTCGCTCAGGGCACGCCGAAGGCCGTCAAACGCTGCTTGACATTGTTCAGACCACAGGAACTCCCTGTCCTTCTGCAGCAGCTGGAACAGGGGTGCGGCAATGCAGGCAAAACCCCGTACAAACTTCCTGTAGTACGAGGCCAGGCCCAGGAAACTCTTCAGCTGTTTCTGGTTGCGAGGATTTGGCCAGCCTGTGACCGCCTGCACTTTCTCGTGCAGGGTGCCGATGCCCCCCCCCCCCACTTTGTGGCCCAGGAAGGTGACCTCTCTCTGTAGGAAATGGCACTTATCTGGATGTAGCTTCAACCCAGCGGCTCTGATCCTCTCCAGCACCACTTTTAGCGATCCTAGGGCCGCCTCAAACGAGCTGCCATGCACCAGGATGTCGTCCAGGTAAACCAAACACTGTTGGCGGGGAATCCCAGACAGCACCCTGTCCATCAACCGCACGAAGGTGGCCGGGGCATTACACAGCCCAAAACTGAGGACCTTGAACTGCCATAGTCCTCGGCCGGTGCAGAAAGCCGTTTTTGGTCTGGCCTCCGGGGCAAGAGGGACTTGGTAATAACCGCTGCGGAGGTCCAAGGAAGAGAACCACGACGACCCTGCGACCAGGTCCAGGGACTCATCGATGCGGGGAAGGGGGTATGAATCCTTCTTGGTGACCCCGTTCACCGGTCTGTAGTCTGAGCACAGCCGCCAGCCCCCTGTCTTCTTCGGGACCATGACTACCGTGGGCTGTCTGAGGGCTCGATGATGTCTGCCTGCAGCATGCTCTGCACTGCCTCGTCACAAGCCTGCTGACGAGCCAGGGGGAGACGCCGCGGGCGACACCTGATGGGCCGCGAGTCCCCCGTATCGATCTCGTGTTCCACCAGATGCGTTCGGCCCACCTCCTCCTCCTTCATGGTGAAACTGCTCTGGAACTCTAGCAGGAGCTGCCCCAATTGCTCCTGCTGCTCGGGATTCAGGCCGCCACAGTTCTTCCTCCACACCTCCAATACTGCAGACCGAGCCTCTTCTACCTCTGTCTGGGGTACTTGGGGGGGGGCTGTGCTCGGATGGCGCAGCCTGGGGGTGACAGGTGGGGAATTGTCCTGAGTGGGCGTCACCGTGGGTACAGGAAGGGAGGGAGGGTTTGCTTCCGTGTCTAGGGTACTCACGGTGGGTGTCGGGGGTCTCCCCGCAGGCTCAGCAGGGTTGTGGACACGGGTCATAGTAATTACAGGCCCCCCCCCCGAAACCCACTGTGCCGGCTTGAAGATCCAGGAGGCAGCCCGTCGCCTTCAGAAAGTCCAAACCCAGAATGCACGGGTCCTGTACATCCGCTATCCACACGGGGTGCCGCACTTCCACTCCCCCCACCGACACAGACAGCACTCCTCTTCCTTTCATAGCCGCCAACTCTCCGGTGACTGTGCGCAGACGCACCGCTGTCGGCTCGAACATAGTCCCACTGGGCAACACCTCTGCTCTCACCAGGGTTACTGTAGAGCCTGTGTCCACCAGTGCATCGCAGGGCACCCCCTCCACCTCGACAGGAACATAGCAGGATTCCCCACCAGCACGGCCCACCACGACGACAGGCTCCACTCCGGTGTTGTCATCTTTTTCAGGAGGGCGTAGAGTCTGGCTCCCCCTGCTGTGCTGTCGGACTCCCTCCGCGGATGTCTGAGTCGGTGACAATAAAGCCTGTGGTTTGTTTGGGGAGTCTTCGGGCTTGGTTCCACATATCCTCCTCTATGCGGGCCCCCCGTCATTGCCCTGGTGTTCGCCGAGCCTTGGTGCAGTCTCTGGCAAAATGTCCTGGCTGACCACACTCCCAGCAGACTCTGGTGTCTGGTCTGTGTGTTGGCTGCAGAGAAACAGCCCTTATCATCTCTGTCAGCTCGGTAACCCATGCAGGCTTCTCCTCCTCCCTGCAGCTCCTCACCGCCGGCGCCGCCGGCACTCCGCCGCTCCTAGCAGCTCCACTCCACACGTTCTCCCTCTCCACAGCCATCTCCAAGGCCGCCTGTAAGGACTGTGGATGCTGCAGCTGTACCTCGACCCTCAAGTCCGCAGGCCGGAGGGCCCTGATGAACTGATCACGTGCCAGCTCACTCTGTACTCCGGGTGGCATGTGTGCATACGCCTGCCGCGTCAGGCTCTCCACGTTGTTAGCCAGTGCACGCAGCGTCTCTCCAAACTCTCTACAGCGGTTACTCAACTCGTTCCGGAGCAGCTCTGGCGGGAAACACTGTCCAAACCGCCTCTTCAAAGCCCCCGCTAACGCTTCATAGTTAAGTCGGTCCACAGGGCTAAGTAGTAGCAGACATGAAAGAGCCTCTTCTGTGAGGCACAAAGCTAGCTATAGTGCTTTAGTCTCTACTGACCACCCCCCGGCATGAGCAAGCAGTTGAAATTGGGCATGGAAAGCCTCCCAGTCTGCCTTACCCGAGAATTTGGGTGTTTTCACTGACCCGGCGGCGGCTGCTGCGGGTTGATGGGCGCCGCCATTGTTGTTTACCTCCAGCTTGGAAATGGCGAGAACTGCCGCAGAAGACGGAGACATTCCCGCGTCTCTAGCCATCCTCACCGCCGACTCTCTCAGGTGCTCTCTCACCTCTCGTGCACTCATGAACTCCTCTCTCATGTCCTTCGACCACCCGCATGCTCCATCTTCCTCTTCATCACTACTGTGTTCCTGCTTCACTCCCATCTTGCTGAACTTAGCCATCCCCGCTAGCTTACCGGCTAGCTCCGTGACGCAGTTACGACTCTCGTCCGGATAGACGTCCCTTGTTCGAAAAGTTCACTTCTGACACCAATGTAACGTTCCCCAAGATGAGTCGGAGACAGGCTTGTAGTTATTAGGCTTTAATAACTAGTAGT